ATCATTTAAGTAATGTTATTATTTGCAACAATTTTAGCCAACCCTGTCCTCCCTTTACGGTGTGACCTCTTTAGCATGAGTTCCACACCATTCAGTATTTGATCAGAGTTCAGTTGGTGCTCCCAGGTGTAAGCACAGTCTATCAATGGGGACATACAATTTTAAACAGTTGGGACTGAGTCATTCAAATTTTGTAGCCTCACCCTCAGTGCCTGTGACATTTAACAGGAGTGCCACGAGTAGAGAGAGGAGTACTTACTAACACTTCTAAAAACAGAACCAATCGTGTCTTCTCAGCGTGAATATCCACTCCAGTACAAATCTAACAAATCTGATCACCAGGAAGCTTTCACAGAGCCATTGTCGGTTGTCACCTATGTCATGAGCAGAGGCAGATCTACCATTAGGCTTAACGGAGCTGAACTTTCAGGGGTCCTTGCCGGTAGCAGCCCCTTCCCACACCCATACCTAGTTTTATATTTCTAATTTGCACTATTATTCTTAAAACAGGGCCCTGTGTTGTATAAGCTTCCGGCCCTAATGGCTGGGATATACTCCTGGTCAATATATAAAGAGGTACAGATCACTCCTCATTCTGTTCAGACACACTCATTGGTGTCACCTTCACACACAAAAGGACAAAGTCTGTGAAAGAGGTAAATTTCCAAAGCACCACCCATGATCAGGGTCACATTTCATATGACCACTCCGGCTAACACTGTGAATCCGTCTATTGCCTTCTCTTTCTGGGACCTTGCCGAGGATGGTTCTATTCCTGGTGTTTCCATTTCTCACTGCAAGTTTATGGTTGTAGCTCCAAAGGCTACTCTGAAAGAAAAAAGAAAAAAAAAATCTGCCCCTATAATGTACTTATCAGAAACAAAGCAATTATGAACATCATATGATTAAAAAGAAAAAAAAGTCATTTAAATAATGAACTCTAATTTGACTATTTAGCAATTCACTCTTTAGCAATTTGCTATTTTTATTACATTTTAAATCAATCCATCCAACACAGAAATTCTCTCAACCCCACATAGTACTATTTCATTGCTGTAAACCTGTATTTCAAGGCAAGACAATATCATTCTATAATAAAATGGTAATAAAACGAGTACCAATTATCCCAGTATTTTCTCAAAATAGGTAGACTTTCTTTCATGCCTTAATTTTATGTTTTCCTTTGCCCCATACTAAAAGCTCGGCATAATTATCCCCGAACAGGTTGAGTAAGGTCTCTGAAAAATCTGCTCAGGGTGATTATTTAGCTTTTTTTTTTGTATTTGCAGAATTTAGCTGAGACTGTTACAAGCGGTTTATCAAAATAAATGCTTGATTGGCTTTAGCAGTTTTTCGTAATGGAAAAAATAAAGAAAAAGGAGTTTTCTAATAAAAGGAGGGAGAGAGAGGTTAAATACTTTAATTACTAACTTGCAAAAAGATTTCCATTTGAATATGGAAACAATGTAAAGGGGTCCCTAATTTTTATGGGACTGGAATCACTCCAGAGGATTTAATGATACTGCTGGGCAACTGAATAATGTGATTTCTAAGCATACTTCCTTGAAATTCAATAGTGCTAGGGAATATTTAAAGTGGGTTATTTTAAAAAGTTGAATATGCAGATTTGTGGGGTAGGGGAGGAATTAAGGAAACAGTGATTTCTTTAAGACCCATTTTCATTTTCTATCTTAAAATAATAACTAGGCACTTTTGAGTCAACTAGCATGTGAAACGAGAGAGTTATAAAAGGATTTTCCCATCAAGGATTGCTAGATATTAACTGAAGAGCTCAGGTAAATGTGTCTCCCTTCTAAATCATACTTGACATTTCTGATCTTTGAACTCTGATTGTCACTATTTATAGGACTCCTTAGTAAGGTCTTGAGTAGTAAAGGTCTTCTTGAGCTCACATGACCCTCGTTGCTGTGTGACCCTAGTCATATGTGGGCACTGCATTGTGGAAAAGCCATATTAACTAGATTTCAAGGATCTAGCCACTTCTGCTGTATATTGTACCCCCAAATTGAAGATTTCATAAACAAAGGCATCTCCATCCTTCTAAATATCAGTTAATTCCACCTAATCAGATCTATTATTAGCACTAATCCTAACACATAGATTAGCAGCATTACAAAGCAGCCATTACTAATGAGCCCTCCTACCTAATACCACTAGCCCAGGAAAGCCTACCCACATTACTATATTAAAAGACAGTCTATTCTGAATTGCTGTTTTGTTTGGAAAGGAATTAAAAAAAAAAAAAAACTGTGTTCCTTTCCAGCTGGCAGTTTTCCTAAATTAGATTAACTTTTAATTTAAATTAAAAATTTTAAAAGCCTTACACAAAGAGACAGTAATTGCCCATTTGAAACATCCAAAAAAAGGTGATTGAAGGGTACAGTAATATGCTTACATGAATAATAAATAATACTTAGCATTTAGATAGAGCTTTCCCCTCATCAAATCACTTCTTTATAAGCATTAACCAACGCACGCCTAATCCTAGGAAGAGAAGTAAAATTTAAATGATGTTTCTCTACTTTAAAGTTGGATAAACTGAGGCACAAAGAGGCAGGTCTGTCATGATGCCCACACGTAGGTTTCAGAATGTGGACTGTGTTGTTAGGCATTTCCTTGTGGGACCCCCAAAGTGCCATTAAGCTAAATCTGAAATTAATTTCTGCCACAGGCACTGTGCAGGCTTTGATGATGTTACATAAGCTAATTTTGATTCCCATTTCTGCCAGTGGTAGGAGGAGTTGGAGAAAATACTGAAAATCTTTTTACTTAACATCTTCATCTGTAAACTAGGGAAAAAATATTCACATACTATACATACATACATACTCTCACACCCACACACTCGTACACAGTGCCTAGAAAATGCTCAACAAATGGTATCATTATTCACCATAAGGAGTTCATAAGATAACTACTAACTGTAAGCTAATGGAATTCTTCAAGTATTCTGACAGAAAACGAGCCATAGCCCTAACGAGGTGTTCAATGGGATAAAACATTCCAAAACCCTTGGAAAAATATTAATGGCACAACTTCTAAGGTAATGCTTAATAGCTCACATTATAAGCAATTAATGTACTCCTGGTGAGTACACATGCATCTCAATTACTGGTTTCCACCCTTTGTAACTCTTCAAAAAAACCCTCAGAGATTCAAGATATTGATTTAACTTTTAGCATCCATTGACGGAGAAAATAAGGACTAAGAGCTACAGTGAAATATGTGAAACCTCTGTGCCACTTCTACACAGGTGTATGCTTTTATTGTAATCACAAGGGACGCCTCATATACCCAAAAAAACCTGTAGAACGTATGTGGGCCAAACATATGTCTGTGGCACCTGTGAATGTGAGTGAGACACATTTGCAGTGAGTTCCTCAGAGGTCTGCGGTCCACAGTGTGGGACCACTGTCCTAGAGGTGAAGAAATGACATGCTGGTCCACACTTCCTGCTGCACAGCTGACATCCACCAGAACTGAGTGGCGCAGTTTCCATGTTCTTGAAAATTTTCAAATGGAACTTTCTAGAATGAAACTTAGATCCTTACACCATGTTTTAGAGCTGGAAGAGAATTTAGAAATCTTCTGACACAAGTCATCCATTTTAAGATGAAAACCACTGAAATCCACAAAGGCTGTGTGTTCACCTCCCTAACCACCAGATAACGGCAGACTCAGCTGTTAAAAGTTTTAATTACAGCCCTCTGTGTACACACACACTCACTCACACACCACACATGCTAACAATAGGGGTGCTTCTAAAATGAAAGAGCGCTATATAAACTCTTTATTTTTTTTTTTGCCAATTCACAACAGATGTGATGTAAGATTGCTCCCCACAACTCTCAAGCAACACTCATAATCTTTTATTATAATGGCTTTCTTTTCCATTTCTTTATCTCTTTAACCTTTTTTCCATTAACACAGCAACAAGAGAGCGGCACTATGTACATGTTTGGTTTTTAGCATAACTCGTTTAACATACAATCCAGTTAAGATATGCCAGCCACTACGGAGAAAATAAAAACTTTACATCTATTTTCATTACACTTATAAATGTGTGCATTTTGAAGCTGCTGGAATTTTAAATATATTTTCATTTCTCCTCATCTGCAGAATTTACATGGTTGCAAGAAAACCTTGTTGAAACCTTATTTTGGTTTTCATGGAACATAATCTCAATATCTCAGACAGCCTGAATTCCATTTGCAGCTTCCTCGGGGGCTCTGTGAAGCTCGATTAGTATTGCATATCACACATAAGTTACTTTTAATGCTCTTCCAAGTCTTGTTAAATGCTACACAAACTTTACACTTCAGGGCTCTATTGTTTAACTTATCTACCAGTAGATCTGAACCCACAGTTCATCTAGTTGTCCATGGTCAGTCATTTCCACCCATTATTATTTTTAAATGAGTTATCTTTTAAAGAACTCCATTTTGATTAATAGTAATTACTAATTATGTATGTGAAAAGAATGCCTTGAACCTTTATCCCAAACATTCAACAAGGTAAAACCAAGACTGTAAAGGTGGTGGTTAATCATTGTATTCAAACTGTGACACTTATTAATAGGCACAAACAATTCATTCAGCTATTGTGTATTAAATGCTGTTCTACTTATTGGGAAATTTAAGTATCAACTAGTAAAACAAACCTACACGTGATGACTCAACAGGTGAAAATGTTTGTATTTGTTTCAGATTTAGACTATGCTAATTTTTCCTTTTATAAGGTGAACCTAAAGCATACTATTTAAAATATAAAATTCACAATCCTACTCTGCATGTCATAACAACAAATTTCATTGCGATCGCATATTTTTTTGATTTGATAAAATTCTGTCCTGGGCGACAACACAACCTACATATCACAGTCTTTGAAGAGGCGTAATGTTGAAATATCAGTTATTTGCATCTCAGAGAATATCTTTGTTGGCTGAAATTCTGACAAAGTTTTATTTTCGAGCAGGTTTTTATTAAGGTTTTTTCCTAGAACAACAATCTAATTTAAAACAAAAAATATACAGCAAATATGCCCACAGGTATAAACAAACTGATGAAAACCTTCATATCCCTGAATATCACAGGAGTGGGGGCACCAGTTACACGTGGAAGGAGACATCTTCATGTTTCTTTCCTGTCTTCATTGCGTAAGATCAATTAAACTGTATAATTATTCTTAATTCCTACGTAGAAATAAAATTTCAATTATTTTTCTTTTAGGACATTCAGATTATTAAGAAAATGAGACTTCACCTTGTTTATCTGTCAGAAGTACTCTCTTCAACAATTTAAGCCTCATTGTATTTTAGTAAAGAAACTGGTATCAGGTTATTCCAAAGATACAGAGACAAAACAAAGGAAGATTAAAAACCAAGAAAAGATGGAATTTAAGTATTCTTAGTAGACTAAAGTAATCTTTGTGGAATTATTCAGCCACAAGCAAATTCATGACAAACAACGCCTGGAAAATAATAGTGATTATTTTGTCATCTTTGTAAATTTTATTAAAATGAGACTTCCAAGAATACTTGCCATTTTTTTTTTAACCTTAATATTCAGGCAACTTAACAGTGACCGATTTACAGCAAAAGCTTTGTTAAAGAGATGAAAGAGCCAAACTATTTGTGAAAAGAGGTGATGAGTGGACATTTGTTTTCTCTTCATGTAAATTTGATAGTGAAGCAGTTTGTATTTATAGTTAAGAAAATGACATATTGAACAGTCTATCTAGTCTTGATATGATCATAAATGTCCAAGTCCTGCCAAATATATTGTTTTAGTCATTTGATTGAAAGAAAAAATATATTTAAGATTCTTGTAATGATTTTTTAAGAAAAAAAAACAAGGTACTGAAACCTATTTGGTTGTATATTACAAAAGCACAAATATCTCACCATTTAAGAAGAGCTTTCTGTGAAGACATGACTTAGTCACTGGAAATTCTTGAAAAGAAAATGAATACAATGTCATCAAAATAACTGAACCTTGACCACTTCATACACTTCATAATGATACATGTTATTTTGATAGAATAGTTAGAAAATTAGAGGCGGAAAAACACCAAAGAACACATACTTGTCATACAGACACCCACATGCCAGCCCACGTTCAGTGTACCTACTACCAGTAAGAATGTCTGTGATAGCTGACCCTACCCAGTGCCTTAATTAACTGGCATTATGTGGTAATTAAGACGATTGCAATTAAGTTTTAATTTTAAAAAATTAAGTACAAACTCATTCAATGAAGAGTTGTAGTCGTTTGGTGTGTTTCCAGGCGCAGAATATAGCAATTTACTATTGACAAGCACTAACGGACGAGGTCATTTCACAAGTACAGTGCGGACAAAGGTGAGCCGGGCAACTGATGAAATCTGTGGCCAAGGCGAAATAGCAATTTCTGAACCAAATGGTAATAAAGTTACTGAAATGAAGCCATGTAGTTTCTAAACTGAACTGTCATAAAGGAAGGCATGGGCTTCAAACTGGCATGTCAGTAGTAATTAAAATATTATTTCTCGTTTTTAAAAAGTTTCAAGTGGCTTTAATAGACTTATTGATTTTTTTATTCAAACAGCTAAAAGTGAGGTTAGGAGGATGCTGCCAGGAAGGAGAGGGCCGTGTAGAGGGTTGGAGGGAGGTAGGGAAAAATCTCTAATGATGGGAAAAGAAGTGAACATACTAACACGCTGGCATCTATGAATGCTTCTACAAACAAAATACTGGATTACCCCAAAGGAAAAAAGTGCAAGAGATTCAAAGATTACTACAATATGAATGCTGAAAAAGCAATGGCTGCATATAAACTATGTTTATTGTTTTCACAAGGATACAGAAAGTTCTAGGAGGCAAGATGACAGAAATAAAGTTCTCAGAACAGATTTCTCCTGAGAGGCCCAGGGGTTTCCTGAGGAGGCCCTACACAAGTCTCTCTAGCTGATCCCCTGCTGAATTGACTGGTTTGTCCAGTCAAATACTTGCTTAATATACTCAGGAAAGGTCTGACGATTATTATTAGGAGCCAGCATAAACAAAGCTTTAAGAAAAAGTATTTGTTTTGTGTGCCTAACTTTCCCCCAGTAGGAGAGGTAAAACCTTCTATTGCTACTTTGGTAACCTTTTTTTTGCTATTCTCATGTTGAAAATAAAGCAGATCATCTATTGTGTGTGTGTGTGTGTATGTATGTGTGTGTGTGTGTGTGTGTGTGTGTATGAACGATTTGCACGAGATATTATGGAATCATGGACCTTAAGGACAGGAATAATCAAAAGGCCATCAGACCCAGGATTCTCCCTCACCTTAAATAAGAGAAAGGGCCCTCAACAGTAGTGAGAACATGTTTGAGAAAAAGGACTGGGAACTTGGGGACTTGTGCTTTTCATATGTACACTAGAGTGTACATCTTCACACAATCTGAGCGCCATCCTGAGGACTCAACTTCCTCATAAAACCAGGCTTCCACTTGCACCACCTAACTTGGTCCTTGGCAAACTCAGAAAATGAATACATCCACCTTGCAGTAAGTGGGCTGGGCAGCCCAAATCCAGGCGCCCCTTAGCAGCCACCACATTCCTTTTTGCGATGAAAGGTTTCCTAAAAAGTAATAACTTAGCCATAAAACAACCTCCGTACCAATTCTTTATAAAATCCACTTTACAACTAGCTAATTACATGTGATCATCTTTCACACATTTGAACCTACACTCATATTACTCAATAATTAAATGGTCTGTCTAAGCAGAAATATAATGCACAAACAGTTCATTTGGAAAAGACACAAAGGAATCACCAGGGATCTAGGACCCAGAGAATCAAGGGGACCTTACTTTCAGACCTTATGTATGAGAAAGGCCAAAAGTTTGGAAATTTCTAAAACTTTTTTATTCCTTTCAAAGTGTGTGATTCAGCATTACAAACTTAAGCATTCCCCATCCAGCTGTTAGACCCCAAGAAGCAATTTGCTGTGTGATCGAAGATCTATCTGCACAGGACTTTGCCAAACTCAGATCCCATTAACCAAGAAGTGATGCCCCCACCCACCTGCACAGTGCCAGTATCTGCCCAGCACCAAAAAAGCAAAATAAACACATCCTACATACTTTCAGAATGAAAGGTGGCTTTTCTTCTCATAACTCTCATCAAAAAATAGAATGGTGTTTTAAAATAGACAGGTTGATCAATTATTTTTTCTCTCACTCTTGAAATCTCCAGGAAAAAAAAAAGAAAGAAAGAAAAAAATTACACCAGTCAGATGTAAATTGTTAATTATATTTACTTTCTTACTGCATTACAAATGTTAACATATGCTGTCATATGACACCCCATAAGGAAAATAACAATACAAATACTAACTGAATAAAAAATGTTTGATTGAAACTAATAAACAGTTGAATGTGACTATTTCTGTCCTACAAAGCAAATAACATGTCCAAAGTCTTCTCTGAAGTCTTCTGCTACACAAATTTTTAAAATTCTGTGCCAAATGAGTGGTATCAATTAATGATCCAGTAGCAATCATTAGCATTTGGCAAATAAAAAAATACACTCCTGATGCAGAAAGCAGCTGTGTCAATGAGCAACCTCCAATTTTCAAGAATAAGGGTAACCATCTATACAGCTTCCTAAAACTGGCATCTCAGCGTGGAGGCCTACGGTCCTTAGGAAGAAATACAAAGTAGGATTTAGCAAACATACAAGCTACCCATTAGTGAAAAATATGAAGATTGCTTTTTGCTTTGGTGCATTTTGCTTTTTATTTTGGTAAGGCTAAATGACCTTCTCCCTCAGGAAATAAATCGGTAATGAGCTGAAAATAGTAGGCAGTTAGTGCGCTGACCAAGAAGAGTCCTCTCCAACTGTGGGTTTGGGTGTGCCAGACGCAGGTGGAAACGTGGTTGTGAAAAGCAAGGTAAAGCAAAGCACAGACAGACTTTCACGAATGCTGGAAAACAGAACTGAGTTTCATCTGTGCAAGATTTCATGCTGCTTGACTGTGACATAATAGTCAGCTAAATGAAAGGTTTTATTTAGTGCCAATTTTAACAAAACCCAATGTTTAACTTATGACAGAACGGATTTGAAGGTCTTGCTAAACCCCTTAAAAGGAAGTAAACCAGAATCCAGCGAGAGACAAAAGTGCTATTTCATCTTGTACAGTTCCCACCCTCGCCCCAGGTAATAACTTACTTATCGGTAAAATAAAGACCTACAGCATTTTGTATGTGTGTGTGTGTGTGTGTGTGTGTGTATGAACGATTTGCACGAGATATTATGGAATCATGGACCTTAAGGACAGGAATAATCAAAAGGCCATCAGACCCAGGATTCTCCCTCACCTTAAATAAGAGAAAGGGCCCTCAACAGTAGTGAGAACATGTTTGAGAAAAAGGACTGGGAACTTGGGGACTTGTGCTTTTCATATGTACACTAGAGTGTACATCTTCACACAATCTGAGCGCCATCCTGAGGACTCAACTTCCTCATAAAACCAGGCTTCCACTTGCACCACCTAACTTGGTCCTTGGCAAACTCAGAAAATGAATACATCCACCTTGCAGTAAGTGGGCTGGGCAGCCCAAATCCAGGCGCCCCTTAGCAGCCACCACATTCCTTTTTGCGATGAAAGGTTTCCTAAAAAGTAATAACTTAGCCATAAAACAACCTCCGTACCAATTCTTTATAAAATCCACTTTACAACTAGCTAATTACATGTGATCATCTTTCACACATTTGAACCTACACTCATATTACTCAATAATTAAATGGTCTGTCTAAGCAGAAATATAATGCACAAACAGTTCATTTGGAAAAGACACAAAGGAATCACCAGGGATCTAGGACCCAGAGAATCAAGGGGACCTTACTTTCAGACCTTATGTATGAGAAAGGCCAAAAGTTTGGAAATTTCTAAAACTTTTTTATTCCTTTCAAAGTGTGTGATTCAGCATTACAAACTTAAGCATTCCCCATCCAGCTGTTAGACCCCAAGAAGCAATTTGCTGTGTGATCGAAGATCTATCTGCACAGGACTTTGCCAAACTCAGATCCCATTAACCAAGAAGTGATGCCCCCACCCACCTGCACAGTGCCAGTATCTGCCCAGCACCAAAAAAGCAAAATAAACACATCCTACATACTTTCAGAATGAAAGGTGGCTTTTCTTCTCATAACTCTCATCAAAAAATAGAATGGTGTTTTAAAATAGACAGGTTGATCAATTATTTTTTCTCTCACTCTTGAAATCTCCAGGAAAAAAAAAAGAAAGAAAGAAAAAAATTACACCAGTCAGATGTAAATTGTTAATTATATTTACTTTCTTACTGCATTACAAATGTTAACATATGCTGTCATATGACACCCCATAAGGAAAATAACAATACAAATACTAACTGAATAAAAAATGTTTGATTGAAACTAATAAACAGTTGAATGTGACTATTTCTGTCCTACAAAGCAAATAACATGTCCAAAGTCTTCTCTGAAGTCTTCTGCTACACAAATTTTTAAAATTCTGTGCCAAATGAGTGGTATCAATTAATGATCCAGTAGCAATCATTAGCATTTGGCAAATAAAAAAATACACTCCTGATGCAGAAAGCAGCTGTGTCAATGAGCAACCTCCAATTTTCAAGAATAAGGGTAACCATCTATACAGCTTCCTAAAACTGGCATCTCAGCGTGGAGGCCTACGGTCCTTAGGAAGAAATACAAAGTAGGATTTAGCAAACATACAAGCTACCCATTAGTGAAAAATATGAAGATTGCTTTTTGCTTTGGTGCATTTTGCTTTTTATTTTGGTAAGGCTAAATGACCTTCTCCCTCAGGAAATAAATCGGTAATGAGCTGAAAATAGTAGGCAGTTAGTGCGCTGACCAAGAAGAGTCCTCTCCAACTGTGGGTTTGGGTGTGCCAGACGCAGGTGGAAACGTGGTTGTGAAAAGCAAGGTAAAGCAAAGCACAGACAGACTTTCACGAATGCTGGAAAACAGAACTGAGTTTCGTCTGTGCAAGATTTCATGCTGCTTGACTGTGACATAATAGTCAGCTAAATGAAAGGTTTTATTTAGTGCCAATTTTAACAAAACCCAATGTTTAACTTATGACAGAACGGATTTGAAGGTCTTGCTAAACCCCTTAAAAGGAAGTAAACCAGAATCCAGCGAGAGACAAAAGTGCTATTTCATCTTGTACAGTTCCCACCCTCGCCCCAGGTAATAACTTACTTATCGGTAAAATAAAGACCTACAGCATTAGCTAAAGACACAATTACAAGATTACATGGAGTCAGTGTTCACCTGTACACAATGGTTGTCTGACTATAAAAAACCATCCGTTTCAAACCTCATTTCATACAAACTCTTTTATTGCTTCACTAAAACTAAAATCTACACATGTATGCATGTGTGCATGAGCACACACGCACACACACACACACACACACACACACACACACATGAGGAAATAAAAGAGAATTCATTTTGAAACACACAGAGCTGCAATAAAATCAAATATCCTTTTTACACCAAAGGCATCCCCGGGATAAGAACACGCTTGCCTGCTTGCTGCTTCTCAAAGCAAGTCCAGTTACCATAACAAATGTACATTTTACCAGCCTTGGAATTCTAATTGTGTTTAATACAGTTTCATGTGGCATCAAAGTACAAAATCAATATCAATTGTCCAGCACACAGGAAAAATGGAATCTATAAATGGCTCTCATTGAGTAATTAAACACTTATTATTGTCATGGGTAGTGAAACAATGAATATGATAAGATAAATTTTTGCAAGAAAATGCTACAGTGATTAATACCTCCCTACATATTAAATAAAAATGACTGCCTTTTGTGCAGTACTGCTGGCAGAAGGACGGGGACGCCGAGAAGTAGTTGCCAGTACCACAATAACAGGCTAACCTTGAACTGAACTCCTTTCCTCAAGAAATTAAATGCTGTAGAAGGACTTTAAATCCCCCCACTTAGAGCTCATTTGTGCACCATGTAACCTGCAGTTCCTGAGAAGAACTGATTATCTTCAAAAGGAGAATCCTTTATAATTTCTTTATGAATGTGTACATTGTTTCTACAAAAAAAAGTATTTCAGTGTCCAAAAGGGATAAGAATATTAACAATGTAAGCAAGGCAGAGAGACGTGTACCAATCAGATATGTTTCGACTTCCAGGAAATCGAGTGCAGAATGCAATCTTTTATGGAAAACTGAACGTTAGATTGAGGATGAGGTTAGAGCAAACGCATAGTTAGAGAAAGAGATTAATCTGTTGGACTGAAGCTAATGCTCCTGGTTATTCCCTTGCTGGAGTTCCTGTATCTTTCTGGGTCTGTCTCTCTCTCTCTCTAGCGTAAGCATGAAACTCCTCATTCTATAAGCCCCCCCCAGTACCCCCACACACATTCTGCACACACACAGTTCCCACCCACTACTTTGCCTCTTCCTCCATCACTTTGACTTTTTTTTTTTTAACTTAAGAATGATGCACCAGGAACAACTACAAAGTACAAAAGATGAATCTATGGATGTGACACTTGTAAAGGGTAACCCTATTTCACAAGTGAGATGGGACAAAAAAGAAAGAAAAAAGGCCACTGAAGCAATAACTGCACACTGAATTACCATTAAATTCTAAGATTTACAATCTGATGTACAGTAAGTGCATATCTAATGGAGTTTGTCCTCTAAAAGAATATAAAGTGAATCTTCGCAGCATAGGATATGTGTAGGTGATGTATGTTTCTTTGAATCTGTTTGTTTAATTAAAAACAAAAAAAGTTCAAAACATAAAAAAAAGGAGACATTGATGCAACACCAGCAGAACCCTGAGGCATATTTAGAAGCTTACCTAATTTTTAAATGCATTTTATATTAACTACCCTCTATACTACCGAATTCATTTCTCCAAACACAAAAGTAAGACATGTAATCAAGGGCAGCAAAACACAAGCCATGCTACTCTTCACACAGCATGAATACATGAACAGTTAAACTTTTTGAATCATTTGTTAAAAAAAAAACCCTGAGTCCAAATAACTGGTTATAAATTGTGAAATTTCTGCTGAAGGCAAAAGTTTGAGTTTATTAGTAATATTGTGTCATTATGTCATGTAATAAAGACAAATCCTTCTGTTGACAACATGGAGAGAATTTAAATATGATACTAATGTACTCAAATATCAATAATTTTATGACTCTGTTCATTTCTATTAACACAAACAACTCCTAGAAAGGAACTGACTACTCTGGAGCAAAATCACTTGAAATGCTCTAATTAATTCTTTAATAACCATTAAAAGAAAATCCTAATCATCATTCCCTGTGTTGCTTTCCAAAGTAA